AAGAATGTTGAAGATGAGTTTTAATATTTAGAAACATTTGTTATGTTGTTATTCACTTTGTGGTATAAAAAAATTGGAAGAAACTTCTTATGTAAGAGGAGCAATGGTGAAAAAAGAAAGTGATTTGGAATTAACTATTTATAAAAAAAAAGTTATAAAGACTAAATAAAGTTCTGGGTTCAATCTTTAGAAATTTTGAATTTAAGAGAAGGAAACTGTTGCAGTCTTGTTTAATACTCTAGTAAGGGGCTCAATAGGATAACTGTACACTAGAGATGCAACAGTTAAAAGATGCATTGTGGAATTACAATATATCACTGAACCTTGGGTGCATCATGAAAAATTTTGAAAAACTAGGTTACAAATTATATTTCTTCAAATGTGTGAGCTGACTAAGTTATTACATCAATAATCCAAGATAACTTTGAGTTATGAATAAGAGAAATTTTTGGAGCTGATTCCAGATGGCAGGAGCTACTTAAGCAAGGTACTATAACCAAGTTTAAAATTTAACATTTTTCTAAACTGAAAATGTATTTCCGAGAGTTATTTACCTCTTCTCACAAAAAGCTTTCTCAACTTGTACTGCCCTCTATTGGCACAAATGTTTGCTCACCACTAGCCTTGCTACTTCCATTTATTACTGCATACTAACATGCAAATAATCATGTAGCAACTCTCCACCAATATGAGTGCGCCACTACCCATATCGTAACTAGCGGCCTCTATAATCATGCACATGTTAATCACTTCGAGATTAGTCATGATTAACCAAAGCAAATCACACCAGAAGTGGGGAGGACAGGTGGAAAATGTGAAAAGAGGAAAGTATCTGTTGGAAATACAAATACTTCTAATACAATATCTTATCTCTTCTCACAAAAAGGTAGAATCCCACATGGAACTGGTGGAGGGCTGTTGAGAATATGACCCCCCTTTGGGAAGTGCCCAAAGGAAGACCATCAGGTGTGATAAGGAATTAAAAACAACACACCAATAGGAGACCACACCTCTGTGCCAGGTATATTCTTCACCCTTTAGTAATATGTTCATAAAATGTAAAGGGTTGGAACTTGGATGGGTCCCAAAAAATTAAAGAAATAATAGGACCCCCAACACAGAATGGCTAGGGTGTAGCAGACCATAAATGGGAGTTCAACCTCAACCAACACCTGGCAGCATTTGGAATTGTACATCAGGTCAGAGGAAGAGGGTTCTCTACTTTTCACCTCAAAAACAGGTACTAGTACAGAAGAGGAGCTCCTGTACCAAGAACCCATCTCCACATCTGCAGACCTTAAACACAACCAAAACCAGATCCACCAGGAACCACCTTCCAGCAGATGTTACGAAGGAGGAGAGGTGGGTGTTCATCTCCAGTCCAAAACCTGATGGCAATGGGAATTTTTTTCCTCCAGTTTACAGAAGGAGGAGGGTACCCAGCCTTACACAAGCAGGAGGTAATGTGTCTCATCCAGCTACAACCAACACCAGATTCACCAGGAACCACCATCCAGCAGATGGTAGAAAGAGAAACTGTAAGTTTGGGATTGCACTGGCACCCGCAGAATGCCACCACCCTACTCTCAAACTGAGTGATACCACACTCAGGAGGACAGACCTCCATGGTCCACCACCCCAGCAGCTAGGAACTGGTAAGTGGCAAGGACTCCCATACTCCACTAGAAAAAGGAGAAAAAAGTGTGTTGGAGAGTCTGGAGGGCTGCAGTACCTATTTTTAAAGCAGAGCAATCACGTTGATGGAGTGCATCTTCCAACACCTGGCAGCATCTGGAATTGTACCTCAGATCCACAAATGCCATGGATCATAAGTGATGGGCAGTAATCTCTGTCTGCTTTATTCATGTTAGCCAATGTGTGTACATTCTTGGTTGATTATACTTATGAAGCAAAAGACTGTGAGGTATACCTAAAAGTGGACATGCAGAACACCCTGTCTCAACGGTGAGCATGATATGATCTGGATAAGTGTTATGAGATTATATTTTGAGAGCATAGAGAACATCTGGAAGCCCTGGAATGGAACATCAGGTTCACAGTAGAAAGAGCATCAACATTACAGTCACCTAGCATGTTCATAGGTCATACAGTACACATTTAAGACTAAACATAAATGGTCAGGTAACATTTGCCACAGAGTGGGATCCAAAAATGTGATAAAGGCCTCTGCAAAGAAAGAGAAATATTAATGGAGTACTTACCACCACAGTCAAAAAGTTCCAGCACTGATGATGTCCCCCAAAGGAAGGTGAAAATGTGTAGCCTGGGCCATAGTAAGGTGACAGATATGATTGGAAGAAAACATGAAAAGGCAACATTCATCACCAGAAAGGGAAGAAAATGCCAGGCAAATTCAACCAAGAAGGGTAATTGGAAAAAGGTTACGGGAGATGTGAGAATTTCACTGAATAAACTACCGAAGGGAGCAGTACATGGCATATAAGCCCTGACCGGGCAAAGGAAGTGGTTGAGATTGGAACAGTCATAAACATAGGAAAACGAGGAAAGGGAACGAGATTGTGAGACAACAGGGGAAATGAATGAAAGAAGAGGCCCAGACATAATGAAATTACTTTCAGAACTCATGGATCAACACCCAAAAACCTCCAAAAGTGGGCAAATTGAAGGAGTCTGACCCACCAAAATGTCTTGCATGAACCACGATATCTGGGGAGAAGGAAACACTAAATAATGATCCAAAGGTTCATCCCCGAGAAGGGCAGGGGTTTAACACAGGAAGTGGGAGATAAGTACAGAATATAACATACTTGAATAACAAATCCACCAAAGGGAAAAAGAGGTCTGGGCAAGTCCCCCAAAAGGACATGCAACTAAGAGGCATATTCAGGAGGGGGGGATAAAGGCTGTCCAAAACCAAAACTAAAAGATCACTAAAACCCTAGTGAGGACAATCTGTTCTGATTGTTACATGAAAATGCTCAACTCCTGATGGATGAAAGACATCACCTCATAGGCCAAGAATCATGGTTTTGAACCGTTGGCTGTGCTTGGTAATACCATTGCCTCAGTAAGAGCAGTCATAGTTGAGACCATCCAAAACTGCAAGTGCATAACTCCCAAAATTGAAAGAGGAGAGAACATAAATCACAACTCTCAAAGAAACAGAACAAAAATGTTAGTTAACATTTTCCTCTACTGAAAATGTATTTCCAATAATACTTACCTCCTCTCACACTATAGCTTGATCTCAATGAAAGTTTCTCTTATCTGTCCATATAAGCATTGGTATGAATCTTACCTCACTTGCTCCAGCATTTATACCCCATTATATTGCCCAAAGCAAGTTAATTCTTGTGATTCTCTCCACCTATATCAATGTGCCCCTATGCCAGATTCATAGATAAGCTCCCCATTTTTATTTCTTATTTCCAATTAGCAGACCAGAATCTGATCATTTCATGGAGAGTATGAGAGGAGGTAATTATTATCAGAAATACATTTTCAGTATAGGAAAGTGTTAACTTCCAAAACACATTTACCTCCTCTCAAACTATAGCTAGAATCCCACAATGGCAAGGTGGAGAAGCCAGTGAGGGCAAGATCCACACTGAAAGCATCTGCTTAAAAAAAAAATGGGTGCAAAAATGAGATATAGTAATAGCACACTTGTTGGGTTCACACTAATTCTGGAACAGGAATGCTCTTCACCCAGACAACATGAAACCTAATTCCTGGTTGGTAAAGGTCTACTGGCCACAGAGGCAAAATTTTAACATTATTAGAAAACATATTCATCCAGGCCCCAACCAGACTCTTCACTGTAATTATAGGGATGTGGACCCAAATCTAGATCCAAAGTGTAGTGGCTAGGGCATGAGGTCTGCTGTTGATTTAGTTTTGTTTAGTAATGTGGTATTACTGGAACCCAACCTGAAAGTTACAGAAGATTGCATGTTTAGCCACCGGAATTATGAAGAGAAGGCAGACAACATAAAAGAGAACAAACCCACAACCCAACCTGAAGAAGCGCAACAAACTGAATTCAGAATTACAAGACCTTTCACGCCTCACTGAACCTGAAAACAGAGATTACCCAGTCTGATATTACAAACCGAAACCATAACTCCCAAACCCGAAAGGCAAGGCAACACCTCCTGCCTTCAGAATTACGAAGAGGATGTGGAACAAACGAAGTCCAACCAAGGGCTCATGAAGTGATGTTCCACATGTGGAATGAGGAGGAGTCGAGGACCCTCTTCCATGATAATCAAAAAGAATGGCATGCTCAACTCAAGTGGATCTTGAAGAGTCATCTCTGAATCAGAATTATGAGGAGGCTCCTGGGTAGGCTGGTCCTGCTCCAACCATACATCTGAGAAAAGCATCCAGGGTTTATTGATAGGAGGGCACCCAGCTTTGCCCTTGAGTGGAATAATGAGTTCAAGCATCACTCAGGAGGAATAGACTTCTGTCTACCACACCAGTGACTGGAAACTGGGAGTGGCAAGTACTCCCATACTTCATTAGTAGAAATGTAGGGATACTCTCATTGGGGAGTCCCGAGGAATGATGCTCCAGAGACAGTGCAATAGGTGAATCACGTTCCCTATTTTGAAAAGCAAAAAAAACCCAATTTATTCAATCTAGGAGTCAGCAGGGATGGACAAAATTCCCTTAAGCTTTACTCCAGATAGTCCTTGAGTGATGTTCCAGTAGTGTATCAGTCTTTGTGTTATAATTGTTTACCAACCAGAAACCGCACAAGGTGGCCTTACGGAACATCCCATCTCAACAGAGCTCGTTGCAACCAGATATTTTTTATTGGTCGATTGGTAGGTAGCGCAGATTTGGAAGGAAGCATACCTGACCAGGCAATACCCGCCACTAAGTGGGATCCAAATGAAAATGATGAAAGAGTCATATAAACATTAATTTTGAACAAGATGGGGGCAAGTTTTAAAACATGTAACAATCTTCCTACCAACTGGCAAAATCAACTACAGCTAATTAGAATTCCATATCATTTATGATCACAAGCTGTACAGTAATGTATAAAAAATATGGTTTGCTTAACAATCAAGGGTCATAAGTGTTATTCAGAGTATTTGCTCCATTATATTAATTAGATCTTCCCTATTGCATCACAAGTATAACCTCCAGGGAAATACTTGGCATTAAGACCAGCATGTTTTAAGCCCACAACTTCTATGATCTAGTGTCTTGTGAAACTAACGATACTGTTGTTTGTTGTTGATGTTAGAGAAATGACATTAACATTCAAAATTTGACAAACAATTGCAGACTTGTATATTTCATACAATTTTTAAGAAAAAACAAATTTTGTTAATGCTTTCCTCATTAATCAAATAAACTGTATATTAGTTACAAATACATATGGTTGGCTATCCAATACAATAATTTCACCAATTTCATAGTGAAACTATCTACAATAACCAATATCCTGATGTTAAATGTAAATGATAATACAACTCACAAAAAAGAACCAATTTTACTTGTTATAGATAATGCAGAGAAAAGAACTTCTTAATCATTACTTACCTCAGATCTATGGCCTCTCAAGTTATAATTTGTTCGTGATGGTAAATCAGTGGTTTTTCGGCAAAGACAAGTTGTAAAAGTTACTCCTACAACTCCTCTAGTATTTCCAGTAGCCAACCATCCATCTTGATAATAATTTAACCTGTTGAGCTTCCAACCATCCTCATCAGGGAGTTCATCAGGTACTTTACCCATCCATGTTAGAGAAAGCACTTTACAGTCAGCTTGAGTCTTACTGGAATGCTCAAAGTGGAGGAACATGATCTTGATTAATTTCTCCACTCTTAACTTGAAGGTCTGAAAAGATCCCCACAATGTATGGAACAGCTAGCTGTGATGTTTAGTAAGCTGTTTCAAAACATTTACTAGTATAACATATATATGCAGATTTTCTAAAGCCATATTTGACCTCATATTTCCAAAATTTTCTTTTGTGTCTATTTAATTTCTTACTTCAGTGTAACTTACAGCAATCCCACAAATTCAAACAAAATTAGCATAAGCTTTAGAGAGCAATTACTATCAAGCTGTGAACAATCCAATGTAAGGTTTGTTTACTTCATTCAAAAGTAAAAGACATACAACAGCACAAAGGATGTGGATGCCACTTTATCCATTTTAAATGTATTACATAAACAATTCTACAACAAATGTCATATGAATATGCACAATTTTTCTGATCTCAATTAGTATAAGAACAAAATACAGTTATTTTCAACTGGTCTATAGGTTCTTAAAAAAAAGTCCTAAATACTGAAGCTTTAACCCATGGAATAATTTAGGAATATGCATATATCCATATTTAGTAAGTACAAAATATTCAAAAAACTAGCTACTTTCAAGCATTTTCTGCAACTAAGAAAGTAACACATACAGGTACAGCACAAGCAAACAGACATACAATTTAGCATATAAACATATAAATCTAAACCAATGTTTAGGTGCACGAACGACATTCCTTTTATTTCATCATGGATGGGATAATTTTGACTAAAAGCCTATCAAATGTGAAGAAGTACATTATAATAAATCTGAGCAATGATATTATTTATCAGGAATCTTTTCCCAAGGTTTTCATTCTATAAACAATTCATTAAATATCAGAAAGTGAAAATGACAGATGAAAATGCTCTAAGTAGTGTAAAAATCTACCTTAAAAAACCCCCCTTAACTCTCAAGTAAGAAAGAAACACTGGCCAACCCCCAGAGAAATCAAAACCCTTGTATTTATGTACACTATTCTTATTGCTGGATGATGTAGAGATTTTATACTTGAGAAAAATATTTATATTGACAACATGCTACATTCTTTTAACTTGTTTTGGTTATTTTTTACGTCATCTGAATAAATTATATCAGTCAAAAAAAATCTGAAATAAAATATCAGACACCAAAGGAATCTTTGGCTCCATTGAGGATATTCCTACTCTCAACCTCACTCAGTAACAGAACACTAGCTAATAAAGCTAGCTCCGATTCTCCAAATTTTCATCAACCTTTTTCTTAAACCCCTGTAAATTTACAGCTTCTACCACTCTAGCAGCAACATGTTCCACAGATTTAGCACTCTAATGGACAAATATTCCTGCTTCAACTGGTGATGTGCCTGACTTTTACAAACATTAAATGTATAACTTCTTATCCTAATGTCCTGAGAATTAAAAAAAAAATACAATGTATTAATCTTATCAACTCCTTTAATAATTTTGAGTATTCAAATAAAATCATATAACTGAGTTGAAAAAACAAAAGAAGGCAATCTTCAATGGTCTAATATGTATCTTTTAAAGTCTGAAAAGCTAATGTGTAAATAATTAGTTTAAACATTTGTTCTTTCTTTCGAAATATAATGTAACATAACCTATGGACAACAAAGGACCATTTGGTCCTTCAAGACTGTCCTTGCACACCCACCCTTGGAAAAAATTTAAAATTCCAACACACATTCTTCACTTTTCAGGAAATCATCAATTCCTCTCTTAGGTTCCTATAGGGTGCTGGTCTCCACTAAGGCCAACAGTAACTCAATCCATAAGTCTATCACCCTGTTAGAAAAATAAAATAGTTTTAACTGGAGCTTTGCCTGTCTTTTCCAAATCTTAAAATTTGTGTCCCCTCATACAATTATCTTCAGAATATAGCACACAAAAAAATCAGGAGCCTTTATCCTGTCAATAATCCCAAAACAAAACTAAATAGATTATACTAATGCTTATTTTATATCTCAATTTTCACCTACCTAAATTTCTACTTAAATATTTTGTGATGACTCTTAAATAGTTGTTCATATTTATGTTAAACACAGGTTATTTAAATATAAAAGTTCGTCAATAACACACACTTGTGTTCAACACAGCTACTAATTACTATACCACATTATGCATATTGTTTTTTAGTATTTATGATTTTGATGCTTTTCTGACAAAATTACTTTCTAATTCCCTTGTAAAGAAATGGAACATGAACTGAGCCACCGATTTAAAGTTTTGTATGTTAGTAGCTGCTAATGCATGTACATGTAAATACTTAAAACCAAATACAAAATTAAAACATAATATACGGTTGTTCATTAACTAAAGTGCCACACAGTAAGGACAAATTTGGTTCCTTTACTACAGGAAGATATTAACTTAAATATTCTTAATAAGATTTGTGATGTGTGTATAAATATTACACAGACAATAGACACATTCAGCTATGTTTAGAGATGAACAATTAGTGGTATTTGCTAATTGATTAACTGATAGCCCAATTAATTGACTAGTAAAGTGTTCCTCAAACCATGGTATGTACAAGCATAACAAAAATTGGAATAGGGGTGCTGACAGCCAGTTGGATTCCCCCTAGTCAGCAGTTCAAAGCTAATGACAGTGGCAGATAGCCTTCATAGCTTCATCATAATAAAAACAGGTCATGCACTTGGGTGGCAGTGGGAACTGAACACGAGACTCTTAAAACATAAGCTTTTCCCGAATCACCAAAACTGAACAAATTCAAAGTAAAAATAAAAACTTATATGGTTAAAATTGGGCAGAGCACAGATAGCCCATTATGCAGCTTTGTACTTATGAAGAAATAAAAATAATAGCAATATTCTGATTATTTGAATATCTGAAAATAGTAATAATCATGAACAACAATTTGGAAACACTAATTTTGATTAGTTTATTAATTTTGAGACAAATGATTTAATTGTAATTTAGAAGGATTATTAGAATAAACAAAAATTATTATTTTCAATTAATCAATTAAATCATAAATTCGATTAATTGCTTACGTGACACTAGTTGACTTAATTTGTGCTGACAGGTAATAACTTCTTCTGATTAATCAACTAATTTGCCAAGCTCTAGCTATATTTATTAAAACAAACCTTCAGATCCAATACTGAAGCCATCAAAAGATTTAAAATTTTACATTAATTTATCTGAAACTTAAAAGAACCAGAATACTTGGCTTGGGTGTTAACTC